TTATTGTTGATTGTCCGTTAACACGCTTACATGGATTTTGCGCGATTGCTTAAGTGAATAATGTGAATAATGTGAATAATGTATACGTACGTATACACATAACACAATATATAGCTTTTCTAGTATATTTAGATTGGCTAAATTGATTGCGAATTTTTCTTTTAAAATTAAAAATTCGTTCAAGTTCAATGAGTTGCAACATACGCAATATAAAGAATATTATATATAATAATTTAAAAAAAAAATCTTTACACACAAATCCTAATAGTATACAATATATTATATATTCGGATAATGTACTTAATCAATTATATAATCAGTGATGTGAGAAAATTTTACTTTAATGTAGTCCCTGCTTATAATCGCATGTGATCACATGTGATAGTACGTAAGTTTGTCAAAAAAAATTGATCGACGTTTAATTCCAGCAAGGTTGACTTAAAAAATTGCCCGAATTTTATATAAGTTTCAGCCAAATTATTAAAAATTAGTAATAATCATCAAAGAACATGTTGGCAGCAAATCGCCTTAGCTTGTCATGACTTCATGGGTAAATTTTGCTACCTATTATTTTTTTTTTTTTTACTCCGATATTTCCCCAATAAGTATATTCGTTACTCAGAGAATTATTTTCTTGGGTTCACTAAGACAATGAAAAATAGTTCTTTGTCAAAAATGAGACATTGTTCTCATTTGAAGACCGATTTGAGAGTATCAAGCGACGATCATATTATTAATAAGATTACAAATTACAAAATCTCAGAATTTGGAGGTAGAAGCTATTGAACGTTATGACGACTTTTTCTGCAATGTCGATCTTTTTTTTTACACGATAGCCGGATTCGATCATTAATGAAGTTATTTAAAGAAAGGAAAAAGTATTCTAGATTATATTATTTGTAAAATTATTTAAAATTTTCAAAGCAGATTATTGTAAATGAAACTGCCATAGAATGTAACGTAACATTTTTCTCTACACGTGTATTAAGTATTAAATTCAGCTGATATATATAGTACTCTGTATATATATATCGCGTAAATGCTTACAATTTAAAATTCAAGTCGTGTCACTGATGCACAAATGATCATAAGACCTCATCATTTTTTTTTCTTTGTTTCGTGAAAATTTCGTTATTCATTTAGAAGGACTTAACCTTTTTTTTTAAGCATATGCACTCCTTATCGATCTCTTCCCTAATTGGGACTCTTTTATCGTCATATAGTTATCGATATAACTTTAATACGTGCATCTTATCCGTAACCATTATGATTACTAAATAATGATTCACATTGTTTATTAGACCACACGTTGATCGGTGCTTTTCATATAATGAAAATATTTTTTGACATTATTATTGAGCAATTTTATAAAATATTATTAGTTATTATAGGATCTAACCGGATCCGCATGTCACATTAGCCAATTACAGTCAACTCTTAATATAACGAAGTTGGCGTCCTGGCTGATCAGGCCTTCGTTATAGGAATATTCGTTAATATGATGGGAAAATCTGGTATAACCCGGAAAATTTTTGTATATTATGGTATATTGTCGTATAATAATTGTATCTTATAATGCAAAAACGCAAGTTACACAAAATATCTTCGTTATATTGAAAAAAAATTCGTTATAAAAGAAAATTCGTTATTAAAAGGGGCATTTTTCATATACGGTTTATAAAATTTACTTCGTTAAACGGNGCTGATCAGGCCTTCGTTATAGGAATATTCGTTAATATGATGGGAAAATCTGGTATAACCCAGAAAATTTTTGTGTATTATGGTATATTGTCGTATAATAATTGTATCTTATAATGCAAAAACGCAAGTTACACAAAATATCTTCGTTATATTGAAAAAAAATTCGTTATAAAAGAAAATTCGTTATTAAAAGGGGCATTTTTCATATACGGTTTATAAAATTTACTTCGTTAAACGGTATACAGCATTTAATTAGTAAAATTCGGTATAATGAGATTTTTTTCATATGTTAAAATCTGTACCATACTGAAGATCCGTTATATTGTAAAATTCGTTATATCAAAATTCGTTATAAGAAGAGTTGACTGTACTCCTAGCTCGTAAAAAGGTAATTAAAACACAAAGAAATCTACTTTTGTTAATCATCTCCAATGATTATATTAAAGCAAATGTCATTTGATTATGATAATTATTATCATAACCAAAATTCACCAATAATTAATTGAACCGATATATACTCTGAAATTCGATTTTGCATATGGCGTAACTCCTATCTCACTGAAAGTTAATATTTATAATTACATTTTTTTATTTGCTTTTGAAACCTTTTTATTTTATCGTTTTTTTTAAAAAAAATTAATAAATATGAAGTTAAGCGCTATTGCATTTAACCGTTACATATGAATAGGGATGCCAAAAGTTCGGTTATAACCGATTATAACCGGTTTTTATCAGTTCGGTTACGGTTCAGTTTCAGTCCAAGACTGACCGGTTAACCGTCGGTTTTATATATAAAAAAACCGACAAAAAAACTGATCAGTTAATCATATATTCCAAAAGAAAAAAATGTTTCTTTCATTAATTATATTGAGAATATTATTAAAAATTATGATTTTGGTGTTTATTTATATATATAGTATTCTTATCTGTTATTTTTGAAATATTTTTTACGCGTCGATCACGTGATTTTTCGTTCCACTGAAAAAAATCGCAAAATTGACATTATTATTACGCAAATACAAGATTTTATATTTTATTAGAGATAAAAAAAATTATAATTTTAAGGAATATTATCAAATAAAATTATAATTAACACTTCTAACATTAGTTCATTCAATTTTGCAGTAATTTTGCGATCGGTTTTGTAATTCGGTTTTATCAGTCGGTTTTGCGGTCAGTTCGGTTTCAGCTGAAAACCGCGGTTTTAAAACCGAAACCGACCGTTGGCATCCCTACATATGAATTAAAGAAAGGCGAGTCTCACTTTGAAAATATAAAGCTTTCTGAAATTTACAGAAATTACGTAAATTTAACCTGAAAACATAATTTTTCAGATATTTGTAGATTTGCTAACTCTTCGAACAGTAAGAAATAAAACATGTCAGATACAACCCGATAAAATATTATACCAATACAGATATTGCTTAATTTACGATAAAAGCAATTATAAATGAATAATAAAAGGGGGGAAACTCTTTCAATTTGAAATTAATAATTGAATAAACAAGCAAACGTATTATTGTTGACAGGTAGGTGGCAGTAAAGTGCGAAATCTTTTAATTAAAGTACTATGCATGATCCATAAATTTTAACAACTATTCATTATTAAAATAAATCTCACGCAAATTTTATAGTGACGATAAGTAATACATGATAGGATTTTGCCATGTTCACAAATTTAATTACATTAATTACCTACAATAGTATGATGGATGTAATTTATCATATATGTGTTATTACAGTGTTATTACTCGGTATAAAAAACACATTATTCTAAGGTCACATAAATAGAGTACCACAGTTAGATATACATTAATATATTTATATATTGTAACTTCTTAATTCAATCCAAAATGTGTGCAAAAGAACTTTCTTCAACATAATCTGTGCTATCAATGATACGCATAGTACTTTAAGAATCTCACTTTGTTATGCAGAAGCCTTACTATAATTTCTCTGTAGTGGTGTATCTTTAGATATATACAAAATAACTGTAATTCTTTAAACTAGTTTCTAGTATAATGCCTAACAATACTTTAAATGTAAAGAAAATCTAAAGTATTTTTTAAAAAAAAAGTCTGTAAAATTTCAAAAATTAGTTATCTATTACTATTTGCTTAGAAGTAATCTTGAATTAATTCTTCTCTTTCACTTTTCCTCTAATTTTCGAATCAGGAATTTATAATATATACATACGCTTAATTCAAGATAATGCAAAGAAAATTATAATCTTTTTCGTAGCTTTCTAGTCATTTATAAAACTCAGATGGAAAGTAATTTAAGTAAATCCAAATATGATCTTTTTATGTATTTTTCAGGTTCAAAATCTTATTATTAAAGAAATTTATCATTATCACTAACATTTAAAAATGTTTATATTTTATGAAAATTTTTATCAAATACCGCGTTGGTCAGTAAATAATGTATTTGGAAATATGTTAAATCACATTAGCCAGTTAACAACAAATTCGCTTTTCTTTTTACGCTAGTATCTCCAAAAGATCATAAATAAATTTATCTAATCAAGACGGTTGGTTTTCTTTAGGTTTAATTCCGGCCAAATTTATAATTCCGGCCAGAATAAAAGAAGTCACGTGCAGCCGTTTGTTCGGCCCCAGTAACACCACTAAATTTTTCACCCCACGTGACCTAATAATATTCATCACCGTTTTTTTGCCTTCCAAAATTATTTTTTTCACAACCCCTTAACTGTCACCGGTCACGTGGGGTGAAATTTTAATTATAAAATTGGTGGTGTTACTACAGTAAATTGTTCGGAATTAGATTATGTCGTGCCTACAGCTGATTACATAATATACTACGGGACCAGTCGTACATTCGGTAAAAACTCAGTTAAGTTCGGAATAAGGTAAACTATAGTGTTAGATTTAATTATCGAAATTCTAATATTATTCGTAATAATTCTAATCTAGTATTGCTGGGCTAATCATCACTTTCGTTAACCATCACTTTCAGTACTATATATAAATTCGAGAATTGAGAAATATATACGCGAATTTATCTGATGACAAACTATTCGTCACACGATATATGTCACATGATACACCATACTTAATTTCAGCCGAATGTTGTAATGCTGGCCATTTCGTAAGGTAAACGTCATACCATAGTAATCCACGCTGAACTTAGACAAATTCGTACTAAGTTATCACAATTTTGGAGAAATTTTTGGCCGATACAGCCGATACAGCCGATACATATGTGCGATGATTTAATGTACGACAGTGTACGACAAAATAATTTTTCACATAAAACGCCTTTCTCCATTTTTCAATAGCACGTACACTCTTTCTCAATTCACGTAATTTTTTAATGGAATTTTCACAGAATTATAATTCGCAACATCATGAAACTGGATCATATCAAGGAATATTTATTCCACACTCTGGAAAGCCTCAAGTAATAACAATAAATATCGAATCTAATGATATACGACGGAAACTAAATTGCGAATTATCTGACCATGTCACTCTTTGGGCAAAGGGTTACAAACTTTGTTTATTTTGTGATGATAGTGCTGTTGACAAAAATTTACCTAAGAATCCTATAACTACCCGTCTAATATCTAATCTTTCTGGAATGGATTATAAAGAAGTCATACAAGGAAATATTCTACTATTGGACGACGAAAAAAAGTTAACTATTAAAGATCTTAGTTCACTAATGAAAGTGACTGTAGATGCACCTAATATAAAAGATGTCGCAACCTGTATATTAGCAAATTTCTATCAATTAATTGAACTAAGAAAAACTTTTCATAATTTTTCTTCTCTTGGAGTCAATTTTCTCAGGTCTTTGTCAAAGTCTTGTTTAATTCATATCGTATGTCGTGAAGTAACCGGAAAAGAAAGCTTATCACAATACAAGCGGTATCATCGACGAGCATGTTATCTTAGAGAAGACATGGAATCTGTCGCTCCAGAAGAATGGGATTTAATAATTGTTCAGATTAAAAATCTTCATCGCATCAAAATCGCAGAATTAGAAGAATCTTTGGGACAAAATCTAGATGTCATGATTGATGAGAAAGAAGCAGTTTTGCGAGATGAATCAATTATTAATAACGAAAAAAATCGTAATACCTTTTGTAGATTAATTCTTACAGCAAACAAAGTTAAATGTACGGGATATCCATTTGACGGTGATATCCAAGGTTTATTTAATGATATCGATAAATTAAGAAATAATTTTTGGAATAGTTAAATTATTTATAATATTATAGCTCACATTGAAATTATAAGTTCATGAAAAATTCTACAATATCCTCAAAGAATATGAAGAGGTGCGAGGTGCATTAATGAACCGTATTTATTTTTTTAAAAAAAAACATTAGTATTTGCTATATTGTTTCTACGTAGATTGAATATGTACAACTTTTTTTATTTTGTACTAAGGCAAATTCGTAATAGCAATAGATGGCATGGGAATCGGTCTTGCCAACTTTTCGACATAATTTGGTAGAACCTCAGAAGGTTGATAATTATCCTGAGGGAGTACCGGCTTTGCTGAATAGCTTTATGATATTTCCAAATTACTAATGATTTAACGAATATTTTTGTAATATACAGTATATAAATAACATATTTTTGGAATATTTCTATTATATACTAATAAAACATTTATTATGGATATATGCAAAAAATATAGCAAAATTATGACTGTTACATTTGATTGTACAGTATTTCTTAAATTATATATTTTGCAATTCTCAGTATTTGAAATGTATATAAATTTGGTCATGTGGAATTTTATGGCTTTACTGCAATAAATTTCGGCTAAAGTTTATTTCGAAACCTTTCGCTATTTATATTAAATTAGTCTACGCCCTTCCCTTCGTACTTTCCTTTTCCCTCGTCCTATGCCTTCCTTATCCTTCATCCTTTCTCTCCCTAAATCTTCCCTCTATAAATTTCTTAATAATTAAAGAAACGTTTAAAAAACGATTCGATTTTTTCTTTTTTTTTATTACTAATTTTTATCCTTTTTTAATGTGCCAACGCCCGAAATTTTTTTTTTTTAAAAAACATTTTCCTTTAACCGGAAATTCTTAATTTTTTTATCATCTCTTTTACTTATCAATTTACTTTTCTTTTGAACAAAAACATAAAAAGAATTTTCATACCGTAATATTGAAATAATTTTAAAAGAAAGGAACAGACCATTCAGCTGAGTATATTTTACCAAATCCTCCTTTGTAAAGAAACAGCTCCGAAATGAGCGCTGGATTTCCAAGTTATGATTTAAAAAATTTTTTTTTATCTCAGGTAACGGTAAGTTTAGAAAGAATGAATTCTAAACTATTAAAAGAAATCATTTCTGACCTTTTTTTTTTTCTTTTCTAAGAAATCGGCTTCAACTTGAAACCGAAAACCCAAATATTGTAAGTTTTGAAAAAATGAATTCAAAGCTTTTAGAAAAAAATTTTTTAGATTTCCTTTTTTGTAGGAAATAAGCTTCGAGAATCCAGATAAGTTTCGAAAAATAATTCGGAACTTTACAGTAAAAAAACGATTTTATTTAATTTTCTTCTTTTTTGCTTCGTAACCGGAATAATCCTGCGCCTAGCCATAAGAAAATGGCAGTTCTGAACGTTATACAGAAATCAAATAGTCCAAAAAAACCGAGGGAAGAAGCCTTCCAAAATCTGAATCTTGAAAGCGTAATCGACCTTGAACAGTGATCCTCATCCGTTCACGCATTTTAATACCTCTCTCCCAAATCCAAATTCCAAAAAATTCCTCCAATCCGATTAGCGTTTACAATTCATAAAATCCATTCTAGATTGTCATTTAAAAACCTTTGGGTATTTCTAAAAAAATTTTTGCCCGGTGGCTAATCTATTTATCCAGGATCACGTGATTGACGTATTTAGTAATTCCGGCCGACACTATGTATCCGGCCAGAATTAGCCCAGGACGCGGTTCTAATACTATATGGTCCGTCTTTTTGGAGTGTAGGACCGCGGTCTTCTAGGACCAGTGACCATCCTTATCTACAACTAATCCAAAAATCGGACACCGGATTCCTATAATCTATGAAAAGGAAGAGAAGTGAAAAAACGAAGTTTAAAAAAAGTTAAAAATAGTTTATTTTTATAATAATGACAAGAACTGCAAAACAAATAGTTTATTTATTTATTTATTTATTTTATTACTAAAAGAGTGGTAGAACCCAGACTATTACAAATAAAAGAAGAAAGAATTTCAAAGAAAAAACTTAAACCGTGTGTATAGAACTTTGTTCTTCATCCCCTACGAGACCACACTTTTTGATCAGCACTATTTGATAAAGTAGAGCTACGCTAATTAATCAAATGGAAGTATGTAAAAGAAACCACCGAGAAACTAGCTACCTATAAAAAATTAAAGGGAAAAATACGGTCATGTCTAACTTTAAAATATAGTATACAGATAGAGCGAAGAGTTTATATATTGTAATAAAACAAATTATGATCAAAACTAATGGAATCTAGGAAGTTAATTGATAAAGAATTAATCCATGGTAAATTATGGCGAAAATTGGAGCTAGTTAGATAAATCCAAAATGTGGAATTATCCAGGTTACGCAGAGAAGTCATAAACGGGTTATTATACCCCATGTTCAATATATCTGTATGGATACCATTATTCAAAGACGTGTTGTTATGGTCCTTTCTTTGCCGTTTGCGTTGTTGTTTTGGTCGTTTTAAAAAGGATTTTTTGTTGATGTTATTAATTTTTTTGTGATCTTTCCACTTAAGATTGCGGGCTTTCCATAATATCTCGTAAATATCGTGATGAAGATCGAATAAAAATGATAAAAGTACTTTCTTAATTAACTTTTTGTGGAATTTAGCATCTTTAAAAGGTTGTAGAATGCTATTAGGGATCAAATTGATTAGGAGACAATGTAAATCTGGGGCATCAAGAATTGAGGAGATAGGGGAGTCGAAACTAGTGAATATTGAAATATTAAAGTTTACGTTATCCACGTTGATTTTGTTCTTGTCCATATTGTTGATATTTGTAGAACGGTAAATAGATTCGTGTTTTTTGAATATGGTCTTTAGAATGTCTATTGATTTTGGACAAGTCCAAAAGTGTTCATTGCAAAACAAATAGTTGCTAAGTTAAAAATAATTATTTTATAATATCACGTGTATCATGTGATACATAAGACTTTTTTCCCGATGTTAAAAAATTTATCATAATAATTAGAATAAAATAATAATAATAATAATTTAATAGTTAAAAAATTGCAAATATGTTTTTAAAAGTCAAACAAAATACTATACTTAATAACATAGTTAATAAAATATACATGCGTAGAACTAACAGCTAATAAAATAATGTTATTATTTTATGATTATATATACAGTAATTAACAAGGACATTTCAAACAACCGCAATCAGTGCAGGATTGGCGAGAACCATAATCACATGGTTCACCTTGTGGATTGCATTCATAGATATGATCATATATGCAATCAGAACCAAGACCATAAAAGACAACTAAGAAAAAAAAATCAAAATAAGACAAAAAAAAAAAAATGAATTCAAGCATTGAAGACAATTCAATTATTATTTACCGCCACAGTATTGACCTTGCGGTCTGCCACCATCGCATGTACAATTAGTATTATAATCGCAATTAGCGGAGGTGTTAAAGACGAAGAAGGACAAAAGACTCAAGATAAAAAGATGATGAATAGTTCCGTTCATTTTCATTGGCAAGTTTAATTTTTATAACGATTTATTAATGTGGTCAGTACTCTTATTTATATTAAATTCAGAAAGTTTGATTTTCTTGGCATTATGAATGACCCATTTTGTGTACTCCGTTAACCAAATGACTGAAAATTTGATCAACAAAAAGTCCTTTATCATAGAAGGGAGAAACCATCGGAACAGTCTACTTTTAGTTAAATGTTTCTCGGGCTAAAATTAAACTTACTCATTTTTAGTTTCTCCGGCAGATTTCTTCATTTTGCAAAAAGACCAATAAATTCAATGATACATCACGTCGCTTTCATTGCTTTTCACATGTAATACATTGCGTTAATCAAATAACAATTTTGATAAACTGAAAATCTGGCGTTTAAAAACTATCATTATCATACTTACAGAAACTTTTAAATCGAAACCAAATACTGACCATATCAAAAATTTATCATGAAACTTTTAATCAAGATTTGGTTACGATTTAGTCTCATGAAGTTATAATTTAATATCGAAGTCGTTACTGCACATTAAGGCGATCGTCAGCTGATTTGATCGAAATTGTAAAAATGTATTATTGAAATCTTATCTAAATTGTAAAATTGTGTTTTCGAATTCGTAAATAAATAGTAAAATATTATTAAATATTTAGTGAATTGTTCATTTTGAAATTGTGAAGTTTTAGGAAATAAATAGAAAGAAATACATATTTCGCACGTGAATTATATTTATCTAAATTGTGACTACCCTCAATATTTCATCACTAAATTAATAGAAGACTTTTTGCTAGTCTTTCATTTGTAACTTAATTGTATTTCAAAACATGCATTGATTATGTCTTTCACGTTAAATTTTGTTTATTCTTACTAGTTACTGTACCATATGACACTTTTATTACCTTATGTTAGAGGACAGTGATATAACTTGGTTATACAACTAAAGTCAAAATTCAAAAAAGATCCGAAAGAGTCACCTAAAAAAAAAGTACATAATGTTAACAAACGTTTTGTTAAAAACATTAAAAACATTAAAAATAACTAAAAAGAGGTCAATACTTCACCAAGATATCACGCGTCCAATGTCTGACCATTGCCAAGTCATACTTTGAATTCAATATTTTTAAGGATACTACTACCTAAAAAGAGAGAAAAACAAACTGTTAATAAAGTTCGTTAAAAAAGTAAAGAAAAAACCTTATTTTTCACTTGCCAAAATCCGTGTTCAAAGAGACTTCCCAGCATTCCCCATCAGAAATCCCACACGTTCTCCAGCCGTCTATAAAAAAAGAAACAATGAAACCATTAACGTTAGTAATCAATTTCAATAAAAAAAAAAGAATAAATTAAAAAAAAATAGACCGATTTCTATCAATCTATGCAAATAGCAACAATGCAACATACCACATTTGAATTGTTTTGACCATTCGTGTAGAAATCTCATATGTCTAGACCTTTCTAAAAAAAAAAGCATTTGTTGAAAGAAACAAATTAAAAAAATATGACTGATCCACAAAAATCCTACGCGTTTTTGACACTTTTGGCTCAATCAGTTGGTTTTGTTAGGCTTTGTGATATTCTTGGAGTGATTTATCTTCTTTATTACGCATGATTCATCTAAAAGACAAAACGTTAGCAATGTTTTGTTAAAAAAAAATTAAAAACAATTAAACAAAAGTTGATCATTTCGTTAAAAGAAATGATTCAAAAGAAAAAAATTTACCAAGATCTGGCGTTCAAAGACCCAATACTTCCTAAGCTTTAAAATCCAATTTTGAGCTGGTTCATAAAATAATTTTTTAAAACTTTGAAAAAAGGATACATGGTTTAAAGTTCTGAACTGGTTTCCTATAAATAAAAAACAAATTATAAAATATTAGTTTTGAAAAAAAATTGCCTGGAGTAAAAAAAAAATTAAAAAAAATTAATTGTCCTCACGTTATGACCTGAAGAAAAGTCGCATAAAAAAAGAGTCAATCAGTAACATTAATAAATGTTTCGTTGAGTAAATAATCAAAATCCACGTAGAATAAGGCCTTCACCATATACTTCTGATACCCAATAAATCATCTAAAAAAAGAGAAATAAAACGAAACATTAAAGGAAAAATACACTTATTTAAACTATTGAAATACCATTAACAGTTTATGATTTGAAATGACATTTTGTTGACACACAAAAAGAATAAGAGAAGGATAGATAGGATGAAGAAAAGGGGAAAGGAAAAGGACAAGAGAAAGGAGAAAAGTGGAAGGGAGAAGGGAAAACCGAGTAGAAGTGAAAAGCGAGAAGTGAAAGAATGGATAAAGAGAAGGGAAAAGATTTCGTTAAAAATAAGAATTTAAAAAAGTATCTTTTCTTACCCGAATAAAAAAAGTTTAAAAAGTTTATTTTTTAGTAAAAAAGTTGAACTGCAGTTATTATTATATACTGTAAATAGGGGCTTTTCCACCCGAAGTCATACGTATCTTAATATAATTTATAAAAAAAACAAATGTCGGGTGGAACTATACGTATACGTATGTAAATTTAGTACTGGCCGAAATTCATTTCAAATAGTAAATTTAGTATAAAGTTTAAATTTTTGTCCTTGTAAAGTAGTTAAGTATTCATTAAAAAATATGCAAATTTAAGTTATTTAAATATTTATCTCTGTAAATTAATAAGTGTTCATTAAAAAGAATATGCAAATTTAAATTATTTAAATTTCATATAAAAGTTCCTATAAAGTAGTTAATTTGCCATCAAATATTATTTAATAGATTAATTGAATTAATTTTTTCGACTAATTTTCAATTCGTATTACTATTTTAGGATCCATATGATTATTTTTTTACGATTTGAAAATATATTACTTGTGATCGATTCAAAATTGATGCGATTGAGTAACTGCTTGGTAGCAAATCACAAAGTATATATATATTTAAATTTAAATAAATGATTTATTATTATACTATTAAGTCAAAATTTTTATAATATAATAATAATAATAATAATTTAATAGTTAAAAAATTGCAAATAGTATGTTTAAGTCAAGCATAATACTATAGTACTTAATAACTTAGTTAATAAAATATACATGCGTAGAACTAATAAAATAATGTTATTATTTTATGAATATATAAGCAATACATACAGTAATTAACAAGGACATTTCAAACAACCGCAGTCCCAGCAAGATTGGCGAAAGCCATATGAGCATGATTTTCCTTGTGGATTGCATTCATAGACAAAATCCCATTTGCAATTAGGATCAACAAAGTCAACTAAGAAAAGAAAATCAAAATAAGACAAAAAAAAAATGAAATCAAGCATCGAAGACAATTCAATTATTATTTACCACCACAGTATTGGCCTTGCGGTCTGCCACCATCGCATGTACAAGAAGTAGAAACGCAACTAGCGGAGGTGTTAAAGACGAAGAAGGACAAAAGACTCAAGATAAAAAGATGATAAATAGTTCCGTTCATTTTCATTGTAATTTTTTATTGTTTTCTTTGACGAGTTTAATTTATAACGATTTATTAATATGGTCAGTAATCTTATTTATATTAAATTCAGAAAGTTCGATTTTCTTGACATTATGAATGACCCTTTTTGTGTACTCCGTTAACCAAATGACCATCTTGAAAATTTTAAAAACAATTTTCTTTTTTGATTTCGTAAAGCTCAGCTCGATCAACAAAAAGTCCTTTATCATAGAAAGAGAAATCATCGGAACAGTCTACTTTTGGTTAAATGTTTCTCGGGCTAAAATTAAACTTACTCATTTTTAGTTTCTCCGGCAGATTTCCTTCATTTTGCAAAAAGACCAATAAATTCAATGATACATCACGTCCCTTTCATTGCTTTTCACATGTATATGTTAATTATAGCTGAAACTTTTGATGATAATGTGAAATTAATTGATTATAAATAATTCATTACGAAACCCGATATTTACAAATAATGAAAGTATAGTTTAACTAATAAAAAGTTGCTTTCCGCTAATAATTTCGGACTAGCACATATTTGACATAACAAAAAAACAAAGAATGTACCCCTTAAAAATGAAATGTGTTAAATTTGTTGCTCATGTACAATAAATGTCTAAAAAAAGTACCATTTTGTTGCTTTTTTAGATGTTTTTTACACATGAACACAAATATAAAATGAATTTAACACATTTCATTTTTATAGGGATATGTGATTGACAAATAAAAGATAGGAATCTCCCTATTACCTTCTTGTGTATTTCTCTGACAAAATATTAATGGTGTCAAATGACAATCGTGAAGACTCTTCACACTTTCAACGTTTTGCATCTTCACATGCCGTTCTTAAACGACGGATAGCACGTGTATTAGATGAAATGACTTTGTTAAATTTACTTTCGAATTCTTGTACAAAATGATTTACAAGACGATTGTCAAAATCTTCACAAATAGAAGCAGGATCTCGGAATTGCGAAGTCCTCAGCTCCTTCATAACATATGCTTTTGTCGGCACTATTTACTTATATGGCAGGCTATGTTGCCATTAAAAATCTGTTAGCTATATCTTATTTTATTGTATATTACAAAACTTATAGATTAAAATAGTTACTAGGAAAGAAAACCGTTGTAAGTCCGGAGCGAAAAGAAAGATAAAACTCCGATTTGCGATTTCATTGGATAACGTCACGTGAGGGATAAAACGCACGTGATCGATCATTTTCATAATGGAAGACTTCACATAAAATAAATAAATAAAAATAATAATTACCGAAATATTAATGCCAACATATAATAGGTTGATTAATTTATATATATGTCAATGTTAAAGTCTATTTTTATTATAATTCTAGTAAAATTGAAAAAGTTGTAACATTTAAAATATATAACAAGATCAGATTACAATTTTTCTTAAAAAAAAATCTATTCAGAAAATTTTTCGTCTTTTTAATAAGGTTTTTCACCTTGATAACTAACATTTATAGATTTAATTGAGCATAATTTTAATATCTTTGGGCTAATCACTAATGCCACAGGTAAAGTCCACAAAGAAATTAATATTCTCCACTTTATTTTAGAAGGAAATTAAATATGTATTGTTGTAATAGTATTCTCTTGAATTTTATTAGAAAAATTAAGATTAGAGACACTTTCCGATGAAACAATCCATTATATTAAAAAAGATTTATATTTAAATTTCGCTAAAAAGCTTATAAATTTATTTTATTTATTACTAAGAGAAATAGATAATGGAAAGTCCGTACGTTACAGTCCGGTTAAAGTCTTAAGACTTACAGGTCCTAGCATATGACCGGACTGTAAGGACTCAAACTAGGACTTTAATTAGGACTTAATCCCAATGGTAAATTTTAAATAAAAAGAACATTTGTTAATTATTATTACTAAGTCATATAGTAACTTTAGTTCACTAATGAATGTGACCGTAGATGCACCTATGTCGCAGCCTGTGTGTTAGCAAATTTCTATCAATTAATTGAACTAAGAAAAACTTTTCATAATTTTTCTTCTCTTGGAGTCAATTTTCTCAGGTCTTTATCAAATTCTTGTTCAATTCGTATCGTATGCCGTGAAGTAACCGGAAAAGAAAGCTTATCACAATACAAACGGTATCATCGTCGAGCATGTTATCTTAGAGAAGACATGGAATCGGTTGCTCCAGTAGAATGGGATTTAATAATTGTTCGGATTAAAAATCTTCATCGCATCAAAATCGCAGAATTAGAAGAATATTGGGACAAAATCTAGACGTCATTATTGATGAGAAAGAAGCAATTTTGCGGGATGAATCAATTATTAATAACGAAAAAAATTGTAATACCTTTTGTAGATTAATTCTTACTACCCTATTAAAAATATTGTCCAAACACTGTTCGGTTTTTTGTTCGGAAAATCGAACCCGTTCCGAACATTTACTTGACATTTATTGGACATTCATCATGATATTGTACGTTTTTTATGTGGTTAAAAATTCTCAATCTCCGCATCTTGTATTAAATTGTAACAAATATTGTATAATAGCGTGCGAGTGTACGGAAAATTGACCCCATTCCGAATATTTATTGGACAAAAATTTTTTATAGGGCTATAGCAAACAAAGTTAATATCCATTTGACGATAGTACCCAAGGTTTATTTAATGATACTGATAAATTAAGAAATAATTTTTGGAGTAGTTAAATTATTTATAATATTATAGCTCACATTGAAATTATAAGATCTAGCGCTGGAAAAAGAGACCAAATTGAAATTTTTTTCAAAAAAAAGTTTATAAATAAAATATCATCTGATCCAGAACATTTGTTATTTTTTAAAAAAAAAAATTTTTATCGATTTTGGTCCCTTTTCCCAGCACTCACCCCATAGTACCCTCAAAGAATATTAATAAAATTTTTTTAAAAAAAAAATCATTAGTATTTTGCTAAATTGCTTTTATGTAGATGTAGATTGAATATGTACAACTTTTTTATTTTGTACTAAGGCAAATTCGTAATAGTAATGATAGATGGCATGAGACCAACTTTTCGACATAATTTGGTAGAACCTCAGAATGTTGATAATTATCCTGAGGGAGTACCGGCTTTTCTGAATCTTTGATTTTCATAAAATATGTTAAACATATCACTAATAGATGGCATTTATATATTTAACATATTTTATGTAATACTTTTGTAATATCAATGACATATAGACAGAATAGCTTTTAAATTACTAATGATTTAACGAATATTTTTGTAATATAAAGTATATAAATAACATATTTTTGGAATATTTCTATTATATACTAAATACTACTAATAAAATATTTATTATGAATATATTGGATATATGCAAAAAATCTAGCAAAATTATGACTGTTACATTTGTATGTATTTCAATTTATATATTTTGCAATTCTCAGTAGGCCAATTCATAATTGATATTTGGTCAGTTACACTAAAATTTGTGACCAATAAATTTTGTTTGTAGAAAGATCAAATATGCACCACCAAAAATTAGTCGAGTAGACAAAAATGCTGACAAAAAATAAACAAAACCATAGCTTAATAGTTTATCAATCAATCTCAAAATTGAACTTTGATCATGAGATTAGTGTAACCCGACCAAAAAAAGCCGATCGAACAATTATGAACTGGCCTAGTATTTGAAATGTATATAAATTTGGCCATGTGGAATTTTATGGTTTATTACAATAAATTTCGGTTAAAGTTTATTTTAAAACCTTTCGCTATTTATATTAAATTAGTCTACGCCCTTTCCTTCGTACTTTCCCTTCCCTCGTCCTGTGCATTCCTTATCCTTCATCCTTTCTCTCCCTAAATCTTCCCTCTATAGATTTCTTAATAATTAAAGAAACGTTTAAAAAACGATTCGATTTTTTCTTTTTTTTATTACTAATTTTTATCCTTTTTTAACGTGCCAACGGCCGAAATTTTTTTTAAAAAAAACTTTTTCCTTTAACCGGAAATTCTTAATTTTTTTATCATCTCTTTTACTTATCAATTTACTTTTCTTTTGAACAAAAAAAAGCATAAAAAGAATTTTCATACCGTAATATTGAAATAATTTTAAAAGAAAGGAACAGACCATTCAGCTGAGTATATTTTACCAAATCCTCCTTTGTAGAGAAACAGTTCCAAGTTATGATTTAAAAAATTTTTTTTTATCCCAGGTAACGGTAAGTTTCAAAAGAATGAATTCTAAACTATTAAAGAAATCATTTCTGACCTTTTTTTTTTCTTTTTTAAGAAATCGGCTTCAACTTGAAACCCGGAAATCCCAAATATTGTAAGTTTGAAAAAAATGAATTCAAAGCTTTTAGAAATTTTTTTTTTAGTTTTAGGAAATAATAAGCTTCAAGAATCCAGATAAGTTTCGAAAAATAATTCGGAACTTTACAGTAAAAAACGATTTTATTTAATTTCTTTTTTCAACGTTGACACTGCGCCAAAAATCACGTGATTCATCCGTCGTTATTGACGATGCGTTGCAAAAGTGAGAAAATGTATCGCCACTACGCTTTTTTAATTTACCGTAAAAACGATTTCACTGTACCTATTTACTATTGTAAACACATAGTCAAAAAGTAGTAATTTATTTTTTACAACGTTGTAAACACACTTTATTTGCATATATGTTTAATAAAGCAAACAATGTTATATATTACATACTACGCTAGCTAACTATTAAATTATCCATTGTTAAGTATTGATAATATAATTCTTTATATAAAATGTGTAAAAGTATCTGAAAATAAAATTATTTAATAGGCATGTTTTGCTAAAAGTAATTTGAAAAAGTCCAAAAAAATGAAACTTTCCTTAAAACGAAATAATCCCAAAAAAAGGGAGCCTTCTACTGAAATTCTACATGTTTAAGAATCCAAAAAACAATCTGTCCAATAACAAGAAGTTTTGTAGAAGCTGAGATCTAAAAAAAAAATAAAAGAAATATTAAAAATATTTCTAATTAAAGAAAACAAAAAAAAGTAAGTTTCGCAAAGAAACTTACTGTCTCGAATCTCCAGGTACTAATCAAACTACAAAAAAAAAGCAAAAAATAAAGATGTTTCCAATACTAAGAAAAAGGTAAATTTCATTATGAAACTTATCATTTCAAGATTCCAATACCCTATTCCGCTATTCAAAACTTTACAGAACCTATAAAACAAGTAAAATAATTTTTTGTGATGAGGGAGCACTTTAAGTTCTTGAGTCCATTCTTCTGTATCCAGAATCAAAGTCAAATTTTCATTTTGATTCATTATATGCCAATAGTAATACAATTCCTGTCAAAAATAGTTCCCACTGAAGTCTCACATGTCAAAAGGTCCAGACATCTGAAAGAGAAGTATTGAAATGTAGAACCTAAAAAAAGAAAAGACATTACTGTTTAAAAAAAAGAAAAAAGAAGATGAAACGTTAGTTAAACATTTTATTAAGTAAAAATGAAAAAAAAGAACTTAAAAAGGAAAAAACCCAACCGTTGAAAATTTCACATGTCCAAAGGCCTGACCTTTCTAAAAATAAAGAAAGAAAACGAAAACGAAATGATAGTTAACGTCTTATCAAATAAATAAAAAAATTTAATTCAAAAGATTTTAAAAAGTATAAGGAAACCAACTGTTAGAAATTTCACGCGTCCAAAGGCCTGATCGTCTAAAAAAAAAAAAGAAAGAAACAAGAAAATAAAATTTTAGTTAACCACCAGTTAACGTTTTGTCAAATAAAAAATAATGAAAGAAAAAAAAAAATTTAACTTACCGCAAGAAATGCCTAAAAAGAGAAAGAAACGAACTGTTAGGAACCATTTGTTAAAAGATGAAAGAAATAAATAAAAAATTTACCAAATGTCTCCCAAAGTAACTTGAAAGAACCATCTAAAGAAAGAAAAAAATGAACCATTAGAATCATTCATTAAAAAAAATAAAGATGAAAAAAAAGAAAAAAGATCTTACCAGAATCCTGATATCCCTTCCTCTACCAATTTCTTCTTCATCGATTTTAAATTCATCATGTTTAAAATAACGAATATATTCATTCTCTAGCTTTTTCTCAATCCATTTTTTTACCGAAGTTATTTTGTCATTTAAGTTATAATATACTTGTTTTTTTTAAAAAAAAATCGTTATAAACTTTTAATTTTCATTGCATAATGCAATGATTTTTGTCTAATAAAGAAAAATATCAAAATGTTGCTAAACGTTCCGTTAAAGATTTTATTAGAGAGGGTGAGAGAAAAAGATGGGGAAGGGAAAGTGAGGGTGAGACTATGAGAAAAGAAAAAGGTTTGTTAAAGTTTAAAAAAAAAACGTGGCTGATCTGTTAAAGTCACGTTAATCACGTGACACATAATTTCATATAATCCATTAGTGCCTATAAGGAAATATTATAGCTGATACTTAAGTATAAATATGCGCATAAAACAATTGATTATTTCAGTATAATACAGTATTATCACCGTTACTATGCGATTATAAGCATTGTAGTCGCATTTTCAACATCAATATTATGAAATGAAAAAAATAATACTTAAAAAATTTTAATATAAAAAAGCCATATTTATGATATAGTCACAATGTATCAAACAACGCAATCACAGTATTGTAGATATATTGCAATTTCGTATTAACGTACAATGCATTGTTACGTTACTAAAATAACAACGTGATGAAAGCGATGTCATAAAATCACAGGTTTCAGCAATGAAAAATGAAAATGGCAGTTCTGAACGTTATACAGAAATCAAATAGTCCAAAAAAACCGAGGGAAGAAGCCTTCCAAAATCTGAATCTCCTTGAAAGCGTAATCGACCTTGAACAGTGAATCCTCACGCATTTTAATACCTCTCTCCCAAATCCAAATTCTAAAAAATTCCTCTAATCCGAAGAGCATTTATAATTCATAAAATCCATTCTAGATTGTCATTTAAAAACCTTTGGGTATTTCAGTTCTTAGAACAAGAAATTCTTGTTTACAGTCAAACCTTTATATAACGATATGTCGGGACATATATGAAATTTTTAGAAAATATCGTTATATCAAAGTTATACCGATATTTATATGTCCTCACATATAGTGGGAAAATAAAATTTTATCGGTATATCAAGTTTTTAATAGTATATCGGTATATCGAATATCGGTATATCGAGGTTAGACTGTATATTTATTTACCTACTAGTCTCTAACGACTACTAAAAAAAACTAAAGAACCAATCAAAAAATTCCACGTGATGATTGCTGCGGCCTTTTTATGCCGAAAATATTTATGATAATAGCATATTCTTAAATGTAACGCTGCCTAAAAAGAAAATAACAGTTAATGGTTTGAAACAACATTTTGTTGACACACAAAAAGGATAAGAGAAGGATAGATAGGACGAGGAAAAAGGGAAAGGAAAAGGACAAGAGAAAGGAGATAAGAAAGAACGAGTGGAAGGGATAAGAGAAAACTGAGTAGAAGTGAAAAGCGAGAAGAGAAAGAATAGATAAAGAGAAGAGAAAAGATTTCGTTGAAAATTAAATTTGAAAAAAATATCTTATTGAAACGTATAGTTACAGTGAATAAAAAAAGTTATTTTCTACTAAAAACTAAAGTTGAACTGCAATTAATATTAATATAAATAGGGGCTTTTCCCGAAGTCATATTTATATTAATATAATTTATAAAAAAAAACAAATATCGGGTGGAACTAAACGTATGTAAATTTAGTACAGGCCGAAATTCATTTGAAATAATGATAAATTGTAAATTTAGAATAAAGTTAAATCTTTTGCCCTTGTAAAGTAGTTAAGTATTCATTAAAAAATATTCAAATTTTAGTTATTTAAATATTTATCTCTGCTGTAAATTAATAAATTATTTAAAATTTCATATAAAGTATTTAATTTGCCATCAAATATTATTTAATAGATTAAAAAAAATTCGTATTACTACTTTTTAAGATCCATAAGATATTTTTTACGATTTGAAAATATTTATTACTTCTTGGTAGCAAATCACAGGTTATACATATATTTAAATTTAAATAAAATGATTTATTATTATATTATTAAGTCAAAATAATAATAATAATAATGAATAATAATAATTTAATAGTTAAAAAATTGCAAATATGTTTAACATAATATTATACTTAATAACGTAGTTAATAAATATACATGCGTAGAACTAATAAAATAATGTTATTATTTTATGATTATATAGTAAGCAATACATATATAGTAATTAACAAGGACATTTCAAACAACCGCAGGTATTACAGGAATCGCGAACGCCAAAATCACATGCTCCACCTTTTGGATTGCATTCATAAACATGATTAGCTATGCAATTAAGATCACTAAATTGAACTGAGAAAAGAAAATCAAAATAAGACAAAAAAAAAAAATAAAATAAAATCAAGCATCAAAGACATTCAATTATATTTACTGCCACAGTATTCGCCTTGCGGTTGGCCACCATCGCATGTACAGGAAGTAGGACCGCAAGCAGCGGAGGTGTTAAAGACGAAGAAGGACAAAAGACTCAAGATAAAAAGATGAAGAATAGTTCCGTTCATTTTCATTGTAATTTTTTATTGTTTTCTTTGGTAAGTTTAATTTTATAACGATTTATTAATGTGGTCAGTACTCTTATTTATATTAAATTCAAAAAGTTCGATTTTCTTGACATTATGAATGACCCTTTTTGTGTACTCCGTTAACCAAATAATTTATACCATAAATAGGTAACAAGAGGTCAGTACTCACTTACCCATTAGCTCTACAAGTCTCTTCAGCATAATGCCATCTGGCATTGTCAAAAAAAGACGTAATTTTTGGTTCTGGTTCATTCTACGCAAACTCTTGCTCGGGTCCTTTAACCACCATTACTATTAAATTTACGTTACATCAATTATTAATTTATACAACAAGTGTTTCTATCAGTTTCATAATTTGCTGTTCGCCACTCGCCCGATAGAACTTTTATGGTTGTCTTGATCAACTAATTTAGATAGATAATGATGAAGTTGAATCGAACAAAGCCCATTTAAATGATCTATATTCAATTTTACAAATTATTGAGACTTTTAAAAGTAATCTATATAACTAAAAAAATACATGAAACAATCGTAACGTTTAGTACATGAAAAAATCGTAACGTTTAGTAAATAGTTTAAATTGTGTAACTTGAAATCCTACGCCAAAACTGTGACATGCCTCCGCCCGCCTGATCTATTTATGGTTAAAAACCATGTGCATTCCAATCAACTAATCCAATTTCAGTCAAATAATGAAATTTTATCTTAATCAGAAATCAACTAATCCAATTTCAGTTAAATAATGAAATTTTTATCTTAATCAGAATTTTTTAATTTTATTTTGTATTTCCTTTTTTAAAATTTTCATCTTTTTTCATACCGAAAATTTTGATTTTTCTCATTCTTTTCCCGTTTAGGTTTAATTTTTTTTTTCCCAAACTGAAAAAATTATCCTATTGTTTCGGACTTTCGGTCTTTTAGACCGATTTTTTTTATATTAATTTTTTTTTTGATCTTTTTTTTTTTAGACCATATTTTTTTTACTCTTTTTTGGACCGAATTATTTCAGAATTTTTTTGGTATTTATTTTTTTTTCAGATTCCTTTTTTTTCGGAAATTTCCATTTTTTTTTAAACCGATTTCTTTCTTTATTCTTTTTCTTTGCCCCAAATTTTTTTTTAATTTTTTATTATTATTAAATAAATAAAATATTGTATTAAATATATTTACAAAATTATTATTTTTTTAAAAAAAAAATCAAGTTAGGAAGATTGACCGACGTTTATAGAAAGATGATTAAGGTTTTTCAATTAAATTTAATGCTGGATAAATAGTTTGATTTTCAAATTCATAAAAATCATCCATATCCGAAATTCTCTAAATAATCACCAGCAGATTTTTGAATAAGATTTTAATTCAAATGGTTTAGTTAAATTAATAATTTATCAAGTAAAATGAATATCAAAAAGAATAATAATAAATGAAATGAACAGATTTTAATACATTTAATTCTTCAAATATTTTTCCTAACTGCTAAGTTGGTTATGAATTTAAGATTGACATAATATAAAATAATAAGAAATAATTATAAAATTTATAATTAATTAATAAAAATATTTGTAGTATTTTCATAATATTAAAATTTTTTCGAAAATACTTCTAAAAAGTTAATCAATTTTTATTGATAATTATTTTTTCACAATTTCTTAATTAATCCGAATTCATTCTACACTTAAACGTCAAATCATTAATATAAATAGCTACATTATTGTAAATATAATGCTAAACGTCGCCTGGGCGATTGTCGCCTGAATTTTTTTTTTTAAATATGTCACATGATGTACAATATATAAAGAGTAAAATTTATTAATTGGCTGACGGCTGATTTTTTCAAACTTGGCTAAAAATTTTTATATTTTAAAAAAATTTTTTTTTTTACAAACATATTTATCCAAAATAATCTTATCTAATGAAATTTTATTTGCAAATATTAAAATTTAAACACACATTTAAAAAAATCACTGTATTTATTTTTTAATGAAGTGATACAAATAAAAGAAAAGATAAGTAAATTACAATGATCAAGAAAAAAGATGTTAATAAAAAAATGAAATAACAATGGAGTAATGAGAAGTAATAAAAGATGAAAGGGAGTAAGGAGAAATAGGACATGATGGAAGATGAATAGGAGTGATAGGAATATGAAGAGGAGTGATGGGAGACTAAAAGGAGTGATGGGAGACAAAAAGAAGTGATGGGAAGATGAAAAGGAGTGATGGGAGACAAAAAGAAATGATGGGAAGCAAACAGGAGAGAAAAAGAAATAATGGAAAATGAAAAGATGTAATAGAAAATAATGAGAGACGAAAAGAATGGAATAATGAGAAGTAATAGGAGGTGAAAAATGATGAGAGACAAAAAATAAAAAAATGATCATGATAGGAGGTTGGGTAGCAAAAGGTAATGATAGGAAACCAAGTAAAAATAAACCATAAAGTAATAAAAATGAGGTTAGTAAGAAACGAAATATAAGATAGAAACAAAATAAAAAAAATAAAAAAATAAGAAACGAAATGTGAAGTGAAAAATAACTGAACCTTAATAATTGCAGAACCGGAAGGACTAAAAGACCTAAAAATAATGAAATAGAAATAGTAAGAACAAAGTGTAAGGATGTAAGTTAGAAATAAAAATAAATAGAAAAAAAGAAAAATACCTCGAGACCGAAATAACTGAGAAAACGAACCTTGAACCTATAATTAAAATGAGATTCGATAATATGGCGCGATCATGTGGCCAATCTGGCCAATCAAAAATATTAAATCTGCCGCATGATCGAAGACCCAGGCGATGCTTACCAATTCCCAATATAATTTATTCTAATATTATAATTATAATTTTTTATTAATTTTTGTTAACTAATTATTACCTATATTAAATTCCTAATTATACCATCTTTAATTTACTTAGTATTACATTATAATACTAAAATTTTTTATTTAAACAAACTCATTGGGTGCAGAGCAACGGGTAACTGCTAGTTTAAACTAAAAAATTTCCAATTTCATGTGTGACAATTGTGATATGATAACACAAATCACCGGAATTACATTTTAACCTTTATAATCGTGTATTTGAAAAAATAATAATTATTTCACAAAATTTCTTATGAATGATTTTTATTTGACAATGATAATCATTTGACAATGATATTTATTATACTAAATTATACATTTATATATTTTATATAGATAATAGATAATCAAGTATGAGATGATCAATTATCTGAAAATGTTCTATCGTTCGTTTCCCGTCTCTTAATTTATTTCCTTGTTTTCCTTAATAATGAAGTTACTCATGTACAAATTTTAATTAAAATAAAATTATCTAATCAATATCTTTATAATCGCGAAAAACTAAATGTAAATTTAAAATTTAAATATCTAAAAAAAAAAAATATCGTAACCTCACGATAAAAAAGATTTAATACATATCGTACATTCATTTACTGTATATAATTTTATGTTGCTTTAAAGATTTACTCGTCTAAACCGTATTTATGCTGTATTTATGATAATAATAGTTGATTTAGTATAGATTGGAACAAGTTAAATAGAATTTGAAGACTTAGAACTGTATCGTCCGTAATTTTATCCAGAGATGTTGGGCCGGCACTAAATCACGTGGCACAGATCACTGAGTTGTACGTATGATGACTATGACGTCCATTGTATTACAGGCCGAAATTCATTTCAAATAATGATAAATTGTAAATTTAGAATAAAGTTAAATTTTTGCCCTTAGTAAAGTATTCATTAAAAAAATATGCAAATTTAAGTTCAGTTATTTAAATATTTATCTCTATAAATTAATAATTGTTCATTAAAAAGAATATGCAAATTTAAATTATTTGCCATCAAATATTATTTAATAGATTAAAAAAAATTCGTATTACTACTTTTTAAGATCCAGGTTATACATATATTTAAATTTAAATAAAATGATTTATTGTTATATTATTATCGCCGTTTTCAAAATGGTGTACGCAGTTTATTTGTAATTGTATATTCGAATACCAATATTCGCCCGGTTTTCATTCAGTTTTTATCCATATTTCGTCTGGTTTTCGGGTTTCTTTTTTCTTATTCAAATTTAACTGCGTACATAATTTTGAAAACGGCGATAAGTCAAAATTTTTATAATAATAATAATAATAATGAATAATAATAATTTAATAGTTAAAAAATTGACAAATATGTTTAACATAATACTATACTTAATAACGTAGTTAATAAAATATACATGCGTAGAACTAATAAAATAATGTTATTATTTTATGATTATATAAGCGATACATATATAGTAATTAACAAGGACATTGCAAACAACCGCAGGTACCACAGGAATCGCGAAAGCCATAATCACATGCTCCACCTTGTGGATTGCATTCATAGACATGATCATATATGCAATTAGGATCAACAAAGTCAGCTAAGAAAAGAAAATCAAAATGAGACAAAAAAAATGAAATCAAGCATCGAAGACATTCAATTATTATTTACCACCACAGTATTGGCCTTGCGGTTGGCCACCATCGCATGTACAAGAAGTAGTACCGCAACTAGCGGAGGTGTTAAAGACGAAGAAGGACAAAAGACTCAAGATAAAAAGATGAAGAATAGTTCCGTTCATTTTCATTGTAATTTTTTTATTGTTTTCTTTGGCAAGTTTAATTTTTATAACGATTTATTAATGTGTTCAGTACTCTTATTTATATTAAATTCGGAAAGTTCAATTTTCTTGACATCCCTTTTTGTGTACTCTGTTAACCAAATGACCATCTAAAATTTCATAAAACAATCTTCTTTTTTGATTTCGTAAAGCTCAGCTCGATCAACTAAAAGTCCTTTATCATAGAAAGGAGAAATTATCGGAACAGTCTACTTTTAGTTAAATGTTTCTCAAGCTAAAATTAAACTTACTCATTTTTACTTTCTCCGGCAGATTTCCTTCATTTTGCAAAAAGACCAATAAATTCAATGATACATCACGTCACTTTCATTGCTTTTCA